AGGTCACGTCTGGTGTAAGTTCCAGTCGTACTTCTGGAACAGGTTGTCTTACAGATGTGTATAGCTTGATAGCACTTCGGCCAGGGAAGTTATGTCCGCTATAAGGACATTAGCTATCGCAGAGGGCATTATCGTGATTGCGACCATCCATCAGCCATCACTGGAGACGCTTGCTCAATTCACCAATCTTCTCCTGCTCGCAGAAGGCAAAACATGTTATTCTGGTGCCGTCGAAGACCTTGAAGGATTTTTCGAGAGATGGGGCCGTCCCGTAGGAAGATTCGTGCGTGGTGCTCTGCTCTCCTTTACTCTCTCTGAGACCGTGATCAGCATGCACCCGCTGAGCACGCCATGAATTTCCTCAACAACGATTTCGCAACAGACGAGTCCAAGGTCGCAACTGCAGATGATCTTCGCGATTATTACATCTCCACGATCAAAGTTTCGACCCTCTCGATTAGCACCGACGAAGAGCATGGTTCCCAGAGCCCAGATGACGATGCTGCGGATGAGCTTGGAAAAGCTGGAATCCTTGGGACACTCTTCTGGAATTCTGCCGTCCTTTCGGAAAGAAGCTTCAAGAATTACTCACGAAACTTACTGGCTTATGGTGTCCGCGCAGGGATGTATGGAGGTGAGTTGTTATATCACCAAGATTGGCCTGTTTAACTTACTTATCGATAGGGATGGGCTTCATGATTGCGTGAGTGGGATCAAATCCCTTTCTTCGACTACTGCTGACGCCTCGCAGCACAATTTGGATCCGTCTTGGTCACCAAGACTCTACTATAAATGACAGATTATCCGTTCACTTCTACAGTGTAGCTTTTCTGGCATTCGTAGGTCGATTGATCTCTTACCCTGGTCAAGAGCTCACATAAACCCTTGCATCAGATGTCTGTCGCTGGAATTCCAAGCTGTGAGTAATAATACCCTGTTCTATCTTCGGGTCCGGTGGCTCAATATATCCTCCACAGTCCTCGAAGAGCGATCAGTCTATTATAGGGAAACTAAAAATGGACTGTACAGCACGCTCCCTTTCGTGATCTCGAATACTTTAGTCAACATCCCATTTTTGTTCGGTTGCACACTCCTCTTTACTCTCATCTGCTACTGGGCGATCGTACGTCCACGTCAACTCACCAGTCATGGGGATCGACTAACCCTAACGTTTTCGAAGGGTCTCCATACGGGTGGCCTGGCGTTCTTCCGGTTCCTAGCCTTCCTTTTTTTGGCTATCCTTGTCGGCGAGAGCCAAGTTCTTGTGGTAGCCTCTATCCTTCCTGTCTTTGTGGCCGCCCTGGCAATCTCCGCCTTGTGAGCCTTTACTTCCCACATCCGACAGCCATAATATCTTACTCGCATCGATCAGCATTAACGGATTCTGGATGAGTGTTGGAGGGTACTTGTGCGTGTTGTTTTTGCCGATTGTCGTCATCTTTGCTAACGATATGTAGCATCAAAGCCCGGTCACTGCCTAGGTTCTGGTATTATTCTTTCCATTTCATGGACTACCAAAAATACGCATTTGAGCTCATCACGAACGTACGAGCACCAACCTATTCAGCGCATAAGCTTAAGCTTATTTTTGTTCCCTCTCTAGTCAGATTTCCGTGGCCTAGCCTTCCAATGTCAGGCATTACCAAATGGTTCATGCGTATGCGCATATCCTTCGTCGACACCTACATCATGCACAGTGTCAGGAGAAGATGTGCTGTCGTACCTCGAAATCGGGTCGGTATCGTACGGAAAATGGGCGGCTATCCTCGTTTCAATATTCCTGATCTTCCGCATAGTGTGAGTGGGTTCAGAATGCTCTGATTGAAGGGAAAAACCTGACATCGTTCCGTTTTACCTAGTCTATATTTGACGCTTAAGCTGCGATCACACTAATCTCCTGCCATGCCCCCTATCTTATGGATTTATACCTGGTTTACCCTATCCGTGCATACCCCAACCTGTGTTGTATCATAACAGCTTCCATCACGATGTACATGTAGTTATAGACCTACTATCTGAGGACTTTATCTTCGCTCTGCAGTTTGAGCGGCATTTTTGCAAACTCGGCGTACATTAACTTGGTACTACCAAGTTATCAGAATCTCGTTTTGTTTTTAACTTAAAAACAAGACGAGATTCTGAGATATCTTGCACCGTGTGAACCTTTCCACCAAAATCTCCTTTGCCAACCTCTTTGCTAACATGGAACAGGACACAAGTGCTCACCTAAGTATATTCAGAAGTGTAAACAAAGCTTTTGGTGGTTACAGAATTTATATACATGTCCTGAAAGAATTGCTATGCTCAAATTGATGCTCAACAGCTGAGCCTGGGTGGTTATCGATTGCCCCTACCTAATAAGCCTTATAACGAAAGCATGGATTTGTGTGGCTTGCACCTGCAAACCGTAAATACGTGTTTCAAATATATTACGAGTATAACAAACAATTACAACGACTGTAATAGATAGTCTACAACGGAGGCGTTCCATAGATACAGAGCATGATGATACTTAAGCTTATGATAATTGTCAAATAGTTGACAAGAATTAGGACTGGTGTTGTAATACATCCAAGTGGAACTGTCGCCAGTCGATATTTTGGGTGAGATCTAGGCCTGGCTGCTCCTCATTATCTTCGATCACAGGCTCAGCGGACTGCCGCCAACTCTCTTTTTCCTCGAGAAGTGCCTTCTCGCTCGACACCCAGGAATTCCGGATCGGGGTGCGAACAGAATAGGATGAACGGTGGGTAGGCGTCGGGATGCGACGGGCTGAGGAAGGGGGCGGCATGCTTTGTACAGAATGTGGTCGCTCGCGGCGGCGCAGGCCTGGGAGATGCAAGAAGGAGCGGTCGGAAGACGATGTAGAGAGCGAGAGGAATGAAGCCCGCCGTTCCTTCGACGACTTCTTCGAAGGCGTAGGGCTCTCCGCCCACTCGGAGAAGAAGGATTTGGAATCAGGCGATGACGCGAAAGGGTCTATGGGCTGAAAGACAATAGAATCCTCGTCTCTGAATAGTGGTCGGGCATCAGTCAGAACGAATATGCGTCATGGCAGCGGCATGCACGTACCTCTTTGGCACGTATGGACCACCGGTAGTTATCCAGACTTCCATTATTTCGGCCGAGTCGAGCAGCTCCCGGGAGTTCTTGAGCGGAGAGCTGCTAAAGGAAAGAGAGTTGCCTGAAAACCCAGCGCCCTTGCGCTCGAAAAGGCGAGTCGAAAAAGATATGAATGACGACCGTCGCTCGCGACGTTCGCTAGAGGAAGTTGACGAAGACGAAGTGGTTTGAAAAGACGTGGTGGGTGATAGGATCATGGAAGTCGTCCGAGAGCGGCGTTTTGTAAAGTCTACAAAGCTGCTATGGCGGCGTGATGACTTGGGCGTAGGTGGGTCGTAATCGACAGGGTGGAATGAAGGCACAGCAGAACTGCGACGTGAGGACCGAGTCGTCATGGCACGAAATCCCGAGGTGAAGAAGTCGGAATAGGACCTGTTACTCTTCGTTGGTAACATCTAAGGAGTGCCAGGGAGCTAAGCTAAGGATGCCCTTCCGTGGGTGCTTGCTTATATGGATGAGCGGTTATGGCTCGGTCACAATAATCTCAATCTCATCCATCTGTGGCACTGACGTGGATATCATCATAAGGGGATCCACAGCACTTGAGGGCGGTAATCTTGACTTTCATGGAGTGACACATGGACCGAATCGGTTTCTGTGAGAAGAATGCCACAACAAGCAACTTTGACTCGGGACCATCAAGAAGTCCAGCCCAATTCGATCACCACATGCAGTAAGCAACAGCCTCGACGGGAGAAACGTGGGGAGAGTCCAATATCAATCATCAAAGACTTATAATTATGGCTTACCTTTCGCAAGCGCGGTTCAAAGCTTTTAGCTACGACTGTGATCATCGATGAAACATAGAAGACATCAGCTGATTGTTTTCAGGAGATTGGAAGGTGCCGGTGTGAAAGGGGAGGAGGGCTGTAGATCATCCTGATCGGCAGATCATCAACTGAACGAGTGACCCGTAAGTGCGTAGACGCTTGTTGAAGATGTTGGAGTACTCACATTCACAAACGACATCTCTAAGGCGATGCTCTCTGAATTAGGCCGTCGAATCTGCAGTGCAAGTGAGTATTAGGATTTTGGCGTGAGCCATTGTTGAACAAATATCAGATCGCAGCCGTCTTCAGCAGTTGAGATTCGACTCGCGCTTTGGCTTGAACCAATAACACAACCGCCCAGCATCCAGTAGGCGCGGCGGACTCAACTGACTGTAAATAACTTGATGCGAGATGCAAGATGCAAGAGTTGTACATCAAAGGCAGTCTGAAACATCTGCCATCGCTTCTTTACGACAAGATATATCAAAGCTTGCAATAGGTGGTTGTACTGGTCCCGAGTGAGGGTGTCGTTTATATTTGAGTTGGAAAACATACTTGGAACCTAGGGACTAACATCAGACGACAGTGTCTCAGTCAATCGTTACAACACGTACATCATATTAGACTACCGTTTAGCGCTCTGGGCCTGCATGTTGGCCTGTGCAAGCCTATCCTTCTGCGCTTCCGCTATTACTCTCCGCTGATTGAAATATTCGATCTTTGTGGAAAGTTAGATGGTAAATGTGGCTCAGTGTGATTGTCAAAGCTCACCCAGCTTTTGGCGCAGTTTTCTTCGTACTTTCTGTGTTCTGAAGTGCACGCTTTACCTTCTTCGCCCGCCTTGACTATGCCTATATGGTCCAGACAGGAGAAGTAGGTGTCTCTTGTCTCCCAACATTTTTGCCTATCTTGGCGCGAAGGTGCTTCAGGTTCTTTTGGTTCCGTTTTCCAGGTAAACCAGCCCATATTTAAGAGGGTTCAGGTCGCCGTTGCAGGAGGTTGAAGTTCTGAGTTCGATGTTCTTCACATTACAACGACCGGCGAAAACGCGACAAACACAGGCGTCACGTGCATGCTTTAGACGCTCAAGGCGCTAACCAAACATAGTCCTTCTTAGCTCAGCTGGTAGAGCGCGTCACTAGTATACGAGTTAATGACGAGGTCAGTCGTTCAAGTCGGCTAGAGGGAATATCTTTCTCTGAATGTCGTCTAATCGATTGCATGAGCTCTTTATTTTTCGAAGGTTGATACATCAATCATCACTCTTTATATGCATACGTTTTCAACCTCTACAATATATAATAACGTGCGGAGGTCAAGTCGTGCCTCCGGAGCCCCAGATCCCCATCCGCTAGCCCGTTGTCTAGCAGCCTAACAAGGTGCAACCTAACTCGGAGCCAGCCCAGCAAAACCGCCAGGCAGGATGAGGCCCCAAAGAACCCGGCCTAGGTCTCGCTAGACTAAGCTTAAAGTAGAGGTCTGTGACCAATCTACATCGCAGCTTTACCAGCCGTCTATCGCAACAATCAGCGCCATATTCGAAATGACACAGTATACAGGACCACATACCTCGATCGGTAGGCCTACCATCAGAATGGCAGAAACGAGGAACAAGGTTGCGGCGACGAAAATCGAGCTAGCCCGAGGATCAGAGAACCGACGAGAAGGCAGGTCATGAAGTACGTACCCGTTCGGTGATGCACCGTTGATAGCGCCACCGGCTGCGGTGGTGGTGGCAATTTTGATAACGGGGGCGAGGATGCCCGTTATCCTGTTGAAGCTGCTGGCGATCGCGTCGCCGGTGCCTCGATGTGGAGCTGGGAATACCTGAAACCCGCGAGTCAGTGTGGGGAGCAGTGCTGAACGAAGTGAGGTGCGAACTTCTGGGGTATACGCGTAGAGCACGCCATACATCTGAATCATGTATGAGTTTAATCGCCGGGAAAGATTCATGTTGATCAATGTGGACTTACAGCATTTCTACGAAAGGGGTCTGAGTTAGCATCAAGATCATAGAGCACGAATGGGCGTTGACGTACTGTGTAACACCTGACGCACAAGACCATCCGAGGATAGCGGCATCGCTCTTACTCGTCGTAAAGAGGAACAGGAATATCCCAGTAAGCGCAGTTGACACCGCCATGGTCAACTTCCTTCCACCGACATTCCATTTACTGCCAGTTGAGTTCCTTGTCCGGTCGACGACAAGGCATGCAATCAGAGAGCCCGGGATACCCATAATGGAGATTATAGCGTAATTGCGGTAGGTCGTGTTGACGCTGCTCGCTGAGCTCTGGACACGCTGCGCAAGATAGAGGGGTAGGAAGCCATTGAAGAGCGGGTAAGCGAGGCCAATCAGCCCTATTGGTATGTTAGTCAGCCAAGACGGCGGTTTGAACAGAGGATGCTGCCTACCCCAGCAGAGAATAATAAGTGTGCTGTTGGTTGCAAGCTTTCGACTTCCAAACAAGGGCTTGACGTGAGATCTACAAGAATGTTGTGTGACGGAAGGGTTAGGTATATGGGTTTAATCATACTCACAGTGAGATACCCGAGAAAGCGCCACGTATCACCTGCGTGATGGTCTTGGGTGCATAGTGGACAGATCCTTCGATCGCCGCGAGTTGCTCCAAGGTGAGGGTGATGGTCTTGCCGTTGCGCTTCGCAATATGCGTAAGAACCTGGGTGGGTGACAAAGCAATCAATGGGAAAGCACCAAGTCGAAAAGTATGTGGCACACTGTTATAGCCTCTTCGTCCCGACCTTTGGCTACAAGGTACTTCGGTGACTCCTGGAGGTCAAAGATGACGAAACGAGCAATAAACATGAGCATGGTCATGGATCCGCTGGGGAGAAAATGAGCTAATGACAATGACGTTATCTGGTGTTGAGTGTGCTCACAAAGTATAGCTACAAGACGGGAAAATGGTGTTTGTGTGAGAATGAGGATTATTTCTCTTTTCCGAGAGAAGAAAGCCTTACTAGGTGTATCTCCAGCCCATATTATCGGCCTTTAGACATTGTCCAGCTGGAAGCGAAGCATCACAGGAGAAGTTCCCAATGAAGGCCCAGGAGATAAGTGACGCGACGAATTGGCCCAGAGCCCACCATGCAGAGAGTAGTGTCAATGTCCACTATTTACGATCTCGTTAGGGAGGGTATTGGGACGCCTATGGTTCTATAGACTGACCTGATAATTCTGAGGTATATTCTCTAAATAAAGAGCGCCTATCACATGGTGTGAACAAATGTAGAGTTGGAAAATGTAGCGGGCTCACCATCAACAGGTAGACTTCGAAAAAATGAATGGAGGAACTTAGGAACGAATGCGAAAATGGGGGTAAGTGACGTACTTTCCGCCAAGGCCAAAGCCAAGGCACGCAACACAAGATGCAAACGCGACGAAAGTTGTGGCTCCACCTGCCGCAATCCCGAATACACCGGCCAAGAAGAGCGTAATCTACGTACGTGTGAGTCTACACAGTGGATCAGCAGGATGGCAGGCAGGGCTTACGTTGAATGCCAACTTTCGCCCAATCAAGTCCGCTGTAACACCCCACAAAAAGGCGCCGATTATAAGGCCAGCAAACAACGCGAGCGTCGCGAACTCTACGCGGACGGGGAGCAGTTCCTGCTGGACCTGTCCGAGTACAATAGCCACACCTTGAAGCCAGATGTCTGACGAACGTGGGTGGTAAACAACCCGAGCGGCGTGCATACACGTGGCCGATGAACTTACTGTCTGCCATCCATCCGAGGCCTGTCAGGAGGAAGAGCTGATACTGATATCTCCCAAAGCCAATCCTGAGATGAGATGATAAAGGGGCTGGTGAGCGATGAGAGAGGCGAAGACGTACTCGTCGGACATGCATTTGTTGACTGGAAGGGCAGGGTCAGTGCAGGGAGTTTGTTCATATGAACGTAAGGGCGTACTGAGATCGCATTTGAGGCCGTAGGCACGATCATAACCATGTTCTGACCAGTAAGACGCGTCGTTCAGTGATTCGGTGTCTACAACGCGCGCCGCCTCCTCATTCTTCTCGCTCTCAATCTCCTTCTTGTTGAGGCTCATTATGAGTTAAAGGTGTCGTGCGTGGCCAGTCGTGTAGAAGGAGAAGGAACTTCCTTCTGAGATTTCGGGCTTAAAGGGCCTCATCCGAGTCGCATTATGAACATTCAAGGCTTTATAAATACAATTAAGCTTGGAGTCTGGTGATGCGGAAGCAGATGGTTACATACAAGTGGAGCATGGTCGTCGTCCGGCTATCACCGAAGTGCCATATATGTTGAAAACAATGACGCAAGCGCTTGAGCCAGTGGCAGTGACCACGGAGAACGGGCATAATGCAAGACGACCTATACATGCCCAGTTTAGCTACCTCAGCTAAGACTCTCTCTATGGCGCTTTAAGGTTCGGATAGCGGCGCAGTGTGGGCCGACTGCTGTTCGCCATATAAGCACCAGATTTAAACTCTCGGAATGCGATTGTGTCTTTGGACGAGGCGGGGGGATCAGGCGGAGTCGACTCGCATACCCAATCGACCGTCAAGGCGCTTAGTTACACCAATCTGGTTGAGGTAGCCCCTTGTGCCATCTGTATACAATGCGAGAATTGAGAAAGATTGAGGCTCAAGTCTTCTATGACAGTAGGGGCAAGTAGTGGACCATGGTGGTAGAGATGGCTGCAGGTGGTTGTGAAAGTTGAAAACGTTTTTCTATATTTAGACCAGCTCCGAAAATGACTCTCTTACCTCCTTTCCTCCGTTCCTCCTGACGTGACTTTGGCAACTTTTCCTCAACGGGCTCAACATGGCGGCCCCCGCAAGGTCGTCCTAGTAGAGTACAAGGCACTGACAGAACTAACCTCTTGCGCTGATTATAAGAGTCCTGAATCTTGGCCTCGATCGGAGTCTTGTTACTGTCTTGTCTCACCACAAAAGAAAGCGGGACAAGTGGCTCGCATCGAGGCTGTGCAGCGTGGTGGATAAATATGGCTTCGCAGTGTACTTGTGTTTTGAATCCCCCACGACTTCAAGAACGACTCCTCGGTACTCTGCCTCCCTGACCCAGCATTTTGCGCACACACGAGTCACCTTATAAAATATGAACTCTGGTACGGACTTTACATACTCCTAACCTTTTAAAGCATAGCTGATAATCGGACCAAAGAATCTTACTACATTCCAGAACGTGTCTTAAATCGCACAGAGCGTGAGGAGGCCTACGAACTCCTAAGCCGTCAACCACCGTCAATTGAACGGAACCATCGCCACAACGCGATATGCCCCCTTTTCCAACTCCCCCGAGAGATTCTCGTGGAAATTGCTAGACACACTTGGAAGTCTGAATACTCCGTGGACGACAATTTCCCCTGCGACGCTTCATGGGTCCGCGTAACACACGTCTGTCACTACTTGCGTGAAGTGTTCGTCGGTTGCCCAAGTCTTTGGCCCGATGTAAATTGCGCTCAGCCACAATGGGGGCAAATAAATCTAGAGCGTTCTCAAACTGCAGCGATAAGAGTCTCGGAGCGTTACACAAAACCAGGGAACCTTGAACTCCTCGAATCTTCTCTTCACCAGCTGCACCGAATTAAGGGCATTCGGTTCAAACATATCCCAGCTTATCTATCAAGTCTCCTGAAGCAGTCAGCACCGAGAATGGAAATTTGCTGTTTATCCTTCAAGAGCCTGGATGCAGTTTCTCAAACGGACTCGGAAGGGATGCTATTTGACGGGAAGGCCCCAAGGCTGACGGCCCTTTTTCTCACTGGATGTGGGCTGGATTGGCACTTCAACAACTACGTCAACCTTCAATACCTTGACATACACAAGACTCCGGTGATGTTCTCGGCAAAGACGGTCATCGAAGACTTGTCAAATACGCCACATCTCAAGAAGTTGACACTTCGCCAATGTTTTTATCCCTATGGCGAGACATTCTCCTCTACTGCTCATCTCCCCAAACTCGAGGAACTCACCATCGAATCGGAGCTTGCCAGTTGTGTCCAGTTGATGGAACATCTCACCTATCCAAAACACCTGCTTCTCGCGATCATTTGCACCGAATCCACGAATGAAATCGTAGGCGCGGCCCAGCATGGACTCATGGATTCATTGGCCCAGACTCTTGGGGAGAAATGGAAAGCAAAGGAACATCCAATCCTCAGGATCGAAATACATCCCGATT